TGTGTGGGTGCAGGGTCAGAATAGCTCGAAAGTACATCATGCTCGATGTGAGACCCGACTCAAATGAAAATCCTGTGTTCAGACTATGTGACTGTGATGCCGATTGCGTGGCATCGTATACCCATTGCGCCGATGGTTGGTCCTGCTTTCTGGCTCCTGCTGTCTGGCTCCTGTTTTCTGGCTCCTGCTTTCTGGCTCCTGCTGTCTGGTTCCTGCTGTCTGGCTCCTGCTGTCTGGCTCCTGCTGTCTGGCTCCTACTGTCTGGCTCCTGTTTTCTGGCTCCTGCTGTCTGGCTCCTGCTGTCTGGCTCCTACTGTCTGGCTCCTGTTTTCTGGCTCCTGTCTGGTCCCTGCTGTCTGGCTCCTGATGTATGGCTCCTGATGTCTGGCTCCTGTTGTCTGGCTTATGCTGTCTGGCTCCTGCTGTCTGGCTCCTGCTGTCTGGTTATGCTGCATGGCTCCTGTTTTCTGGCTCCTACGTTCTGACTCCTGCTGTCTGGCTCCTACTGTCTGGCTCCTGTTTTCTGGCTCCTGTCTGGTCCCTGCTGTCTGGCTCCTGATGTATGGCTCCTGATGTCTGGCTCCTGATGTCGGTCTCCATGAGTGTGTACCTACATTAATGTGTGACGACGTGTCTCCATGAGTGTGTACCTACATTAATGTGTGACGACGTGTCTCCATGGGTGTGTACCTACATTAGTGCATGGGTTTGTATATCTATGAATCTGTAACTACATTATTGTGTGACGACGTGTCTCCGTGAGTGTGTACCTACATTATTGTGTGACGACATGTCTCCATGAGTGTGTACCTACATTAGTGCATGAGTTTGTATATCTGTGGATGTGTACCTATATTACTGTGTGACAATGTCTCTCCATGAGTGTGTACCTACATTAGTGTATGAGTTTGTATATCTATGAATCTGTAACTACATTATTGTGTGACGACGTGTCTCCGTGAGTGTGTACCTACATTATTGTGTGACGACATGTCTCCATGAGTGTGTACCTACATTAGTGCATGAGTTTGTATATCTATGAATCTGACACTACATTATTGTGTGACGACGTGTCTCCGTGAGTGTGTACCTACATTATTGTGTGACGACATGTCTCCATGAGTGTGTACCTACATTAGTGCATGAGTTTGTATATCTGTGGATCTGTACCTACATTAGTGTGTGACGACGTGTCTCCATGAGTGTTTACATACATTATTGTGTGACGACGTGTCTCAGTGAGTGTGTAACTTCATTATTGTGTGACGAAGTGTCTCCATGAGTTAGTACCTACATCATTTTGTGACGACGTGTCTCCATCAGTGTGTACCTACATTATTGTGTGACGATTTGTCTCCATGAGTGTGTACCTAGCTACATTAGTGCATGAGTTTGTACATCTATGGATGTGTACCTACATTATTGTGTGACGACATGTCTCCGTGAGTGTTTACATACAATTTTGTGTGACGACGTGTCTCCTTTAGTGTGTACCTACATTAGTGCGTAACGACGTGTCTCTATGAGTGTGCACCTTCATTAGTGTTTTACGGCATGTCTGAATGAGTGTGTACCTTCATTAGTATGCCACGGCGTGTCTCCGTGAGTGTGTACTTACATTAGTGCATGAGTTTGTATCTGTGGATGTGTACCTACATTAGCGTGTGACGACGTGTGTCCATGTGTTTATACCTACATTAGTGTGTGACGACGTGTCCCCATGAGTGTGTGCCTTCATTAGTGCATGAGTTTGTATATCTGTGGATGTATGTACCTTTTGACCTGCCAAAGTCTTTCTAATCAAAATGCTTAAAGTCAACATACAAAATACACACTTTCGTAAATTTGCAAATGTAAAACTTACAATCGTTGCATAGTATATTTAAAACTCTTTTCTGGAGGTTCTTCTTAAGATTAATTTTATAACTATTCATAACGAACTGAAACAACTTTGTCTTGTCAATATAAAACAATGATTTCTGTATTTGCACAAACGTTATAGAAGCAAGGTCACGAGGAGCCTCCAAGATAACCTTGATTTCCTTCATAATTGGTTGGCTGGTTTGTTGTTTTACGCCGCACTCAGCAGTATTCCAGCTATATGACGTTTAAGTGTTGAAAACAAGAAAAAAAAGTGCATCCTGTCAAGTGAATACAGAGTTCTTTACACATTTGGGGGCCAAATGGTGCCCTTTGAAAAGCTATATTCGCAGACCTCAAAGGGGATCCTAACATTCCAATGAAGATATACACCAGTACTTGTCCCTGCATCATACTTTCTTCTATCTGTAACACAATTTTAACTGTTATTTACACGACTCATTATGTCATGCATATATGGAGAAGAACAAATGAATTACTAACCGGCAATTTAATATTCTAGAGGACGGGGCTGGGATTTCTTTCTAGGATATAGATTCAGTCATTGCTTCGAAACACACACAGAAAGAGTTGTACCATTTGTTTTCCATGACATGTTTTTTTCCAAAACAGCCATCATGTCCACCAACAAAATATTATTTCTTGAGTATATTCTAGTGTTTTGAGTATTAGTTATTTTATAATGATTAAAGTATCATGTGTTCTTACTACGTCACAAATGAATTCCCTTCTCACACTCGCCACCAGTGTCATATAAACCGCGACAACAATTTGGATGAATGCATCACACCAAACAGGCACGTCGTAAGACAATATTCGTCCTAAATTATCAATATACGTCATACAAATAACGATGATTTACATTATTTTGCCAATTTGGCACGCCCGTATGCACATACAAATATAACAAGACTGTACATAAATAAAAACGTTATACATGACAATGTAGGGATTTCCAGATGTCTGTCTGAGCTACAATGTTGGCCTGAAGACCACAGGAAAATAACCTCATAACTATTGCAGTAAAGGCTTACACTTACCTCAGAGGCCGACGAGCTCTCTGTGACAATTATATCCAGCTAATAGCTTTAAGCAAAAGTTAATGGGCAGGAGGAGCACTCTATCAATTACAGTGCTGCGTAAAAGGTATACATTAGTTATGGTATTTAAATAGATAACTGGGGGCACGAGTGGCCCAGTCGTCTAAGGCGCCGCGATTCGCTGTGCACAGTTGCGTCCCTTGGGCACGCCAGAAACCTATGATTGTGGTTTCGAATCCCGATTCGTCCCGATTATGTTTGTAGGTTTGTCAGCACCATACCCGTGCTCGTGGGTTTCACCGAAGTGGTAAACGTCTGACACCTGCATCACTTCGGGCTTTCCTCCCACATTAAGCTGATACGCCGTGATATAACTGGAATACTGTTAAAAGCGGCGTTAAACCCAACTCACTCACTCCCTCACTAAACAGATAACTGTATACCGATGACATCAAAGGGAAAATAATATTAAACGAAGTATTGCCTTCTCCTTTCTTTCTTGTCCAACAAAAGGGCAGTTTATATATTCTGCTAACTCTTCCGCCTGTTTGACATGTTGCTGTTTGTCACATCTTGTATAACAGAACAATACAAAGTTGCTGCTGCAAGACGTATTTTATTCTCATGACAAGGATTATGTTCAGCAATACAAAGATAAATTAATGGGAAGCAAAAGATAAAACTAAAATAGACATCCATAAATAAAATAGTTTCTAAAAAATGAAGTAACAATTGATTTGGTGCTGCAAAACAATATTTGTATATTCACAATGCGTTTATCATATTGAAGCATTTACATTTAATTCAATAAAACAAGGTTGAAAATGTGTTGTTCTTGTTTAACGCTACCCGCAATGTTCAAACTATTTGACGGCGGTCTGTAAATAATCGAGTCAGGTGGTCAGACCCGATGACTTGGCTGATGCATGTCAACGTATTCCAATTGCTTGGATCGATGCTCGTGATGTCAATCACTGGATTGTCTGGTTTATTTACAGACCGCAGTCATATATACAGCTGAAATATTGCTGACAAACAAACTTATTTCACCTATATGATGGTGGAGTGTAAATACTTTATGCCTACCTTGGCATCTCTAATTTTCTGCATAATATCCCGATTGTTTTTGTTTTTGTTTTTATTGCTGGTCTACAAATAAGAAGCGGAGTAGTTTGGCATAGATGCTGCCTTAGCTTCAACATCGACTGTTGAGTTACTTTCGATGCCAACCTGCGTGGGCGACCAACAAAAGATGATGTCGCATCGTTGAGTTGAAAGATGTAGTCTTGTAGTTTCAAAATATCAAGAAATAATACACGACTCGAGGATATGCTTTAAAAAGCCTGCAGTCAATACAAGTAAACTGGAAAGATGATATAACGTTCATACTAGTGTTGCTGTGTTTTGTATAGATTAGCTGCGAAAATTGAGCTACAATCTGGGATTCTGGAGGAAATATTTTTGCATCCAATGACAGTAACTCTGGCATCTTTGACACTGACAAGTGAAATTGAGAATCATTCTAGGCAATTGACTTGACATATTCTTTCTTAGTCCAGGCAAAATAAGGTTTCACTTGGAACAAAATGCAACAGAATTTATTTCACTACAATGCATTTTCTATAAGGTCCCGAAAACAACATACTAATAGTCCCAAGCAATCCCGGTTTGGGAAATATGTCTCATTTGCATACTTCAACATGGCCCTCAATTATCGATATATAAACTGTAATAAACCCTGAAGGGTTAAATTCAAAACTGTTATGGTCTTCAACGTCTTTCTTTTTGGACCAGTACCGCCTCCGTGGTCTAATGGTAGAGCGTCCGCCCGGAGAGCGGAAGGTCTGGGGTTCGATCCCCAGCCGCGTCATACCAAAAGACGCTTAAAGATGGTACTTGTTGTTACCCTGTCTGGCGCTCGGCATTAAGGGGCTAAAACAAGGACTGGTCGGCTCGGAGTCAGTATACTGTGTCTGAGTGGGGTATTCATGCTAAACTGCGGCATTGTATCTCAGTGGGCTAGCACTTTAAATCGGCATCACTAAGGACTAGTACAAGCAGACACACACACACACACACACACACACACACACACACACACACACACACATGCATGCACGTCGCTATATCAGTGCAATAATCTTGGACGCGACGTTAAACCCAATTTTACCTCACCTCACCTCACCTTTTTGGACCATGAATATCGATTGACTCTTTAAAGTTATATGTCAAGTATATTGTGCTAATGTGATTGTCACCCCGTGAAGATCCGAGTTAGAATAGGTCTTCAGCAACCCATACTTGCCATACGAGGCGACTATACTTGTTGTTAAGGGGCGACTAACGGGATCGCGTAGTCAAGCTGGCTGAGTTGGTTGATGCATGGCACCGTATCCCAATCGACATCAATCACTGAACTGTCTGGTCCAGAATCGATTATTTACGGACTGTCATCATATAGCTGGAATATTGCTCAGAGAGAAAGTGTCAAATGCAGTAAAGAGTCCACTAGATTGTTTTATTGACGGTATGCGACAACCACACCATTTGAGAGTTGTCCGCCTTTGTATATTGACACTGGGTTAGACTACATTGCTCTCGCTTAGAGTTTAGTTTAGAGTTTCTAGAAAGCGGACATTGCCTTCGTGTATGTAATATTCGAGGCCTTCAACGATATCCTGCGACTTATCTGCTTCTCAAGCAACCTTTCAGCCTTCCATCGAAAATGTTTCCTGGATTTAAGGATAGAGCATGTGCCTCATTCAAGACTTTCAGATGTGACACTTTCTCGACATTCGAGACTCAACTGACGTGTGTCATAGGCCTGATATTGTTGCTGCTGCTGCAATATTGAAACTTTTCGATTGTAAACCAAATCCTGCGTGTGTCAATATAATTTGTTAATTATTCATTGTTCGTGTGTTGTTATTTACTGATTTCACAATTTAGTTCTGGACGATCCGATTTCTGGGTTTCTACAAATATGACAAGGAACATTTTGTAAAACTTGTTTTGTATATACAGAACATTTCAGGGATACTTCGTGTCCGTTCATCAGGTGAGACAATAAAAAGTTGTTATCCATGATATTCATGACATTCTGCTTCAATATTTCGGCCGATCTTCAGTAAATGCCAAATTCCGTTGGTACAACGTTTCCGTCAACAAGCACTGAAAATAAACATGATACATATTCAGTGAGATATTTGCGATGTAATAGATGCACGAGAAATTAACTTTTCCACTGACTCATGTTAAGGTTCACCATATTAATCTTAATAGCTGACTTTCAATTAGCAACTACATATAATATACTTAACAACAAAAGTTCCTATGACCAATATTTTAGTGTATGTTTCAAACAAGTAAAGTTTGGTTATCAATATTGTAGTACATGTATGGAATCAAGTCACAAAAAAGCAACTGCTGCAGAAAAGCATGCATTCCATGCAAAAGATGACTTTATGCAAGCCCCATGCATTTCACTACCCAAGAATGGGTATAAAAACATGTGCGTTAACTGGATTCCATATGCATTGTTTAGCATCGTGCTGACAACAACCACTCAGAAAAACAACAAAATTACGCAATTATTCAACATTACGAAATGCCACGCCTGTCCGAAAATGAGCGTCTCCGAGCCATTTATATGCTTGAAGCAGGATCGAGTCATCGTGATGTTGCAAGACAATTTAACGTCCAAAGAAACAACATTTGGTGTATAGGGCAACGTTGGCAACAGACGAATGCAGTCAGAGACCATCCTCGGAGTGGCAGGCCACGCGTAACCAATAATCGACAAGACAACTGGATTCCAACAACACACCTACGAAATCGATTCCAGCCAGCAACAGTGACTGCAAGAAGCATCCCTGGCCTTAGACGAATATCTTCTCAAACCGTACGTCGTCGCCTCAGATGTGCAGGGATTGTCGCCATTTTGACAGGAAACCACCGCCAAGCACGTATACAGTGATGCAGACAGCGTCTACGCTGGACGGCCATACAGTGGGGACAAGTTCTATTCACTGACGAGTCTCGTGTTCACCTCAACCACAGCGATGTACGGATTCGAGTGTACCGACGTCGAGGTGAACGTTATGTCAATCATTGTGTCATGAAAGAAGATCGGTTCGGGGGCGGCAGCGTTATGGTATGGAGTGGGATTACAGCAAGACAGAGGACCAGTTTGATAGTGGTAGAAGGAAATCTCAATGGACAGCTCTACTGCGACGAGATCATCGGCCATGTTGTTCAACCGTTTTTGCGTCGTCATGGCCCAGGCATTACCTTTCAACATGACAACGCCCGGCCTCATATTGCTCGACTTGTTCAGGATTCTCTTCAACAAAACAACGTGAATGTTATCCCCTGGCCGGCTCACTCCCCTGATCTCTCACCAATCGAGCACATGTGGGGTGAGATGTATCGGCGAATTCGACGTCAATCACGTGTTCCACAGACACTCCAGGAACTTCGAAACATGCTCCAGCAGATATGGTCAGATTTCCCACAGGACTTTGTGCGGCGCCTGGTCCATTCCATGAGACGAAGATGTGTTGCTTACATCGCAACCAGAGGTGTACACACACGCTATTGATTTGTAAATTGACATTTTGGCATGTTCATGTTTTTTTTATGAAATCACGCATTTTCTGAAGTCAGTATGGCACATTAAACCATTTGAACACTTACAGGAGTCTTGTATCTGTTGCAAACCGAAATTGTTTCAGATTTGGTAAAAAAACATAACTTTGCATTAAATCTTATTCAGTGTCACAGGAACGTTTGTTGTTCAGTATATGGATTATTTCCAAGACCAAACCTAATTGGGATTCCATGGAATTTTGAAAACCATAGTGAGTCGGGCTTTTCGCTGCATTTAACAGTATTCCAGTTTTATCGTGGCGTGTCAGCTAAATGTGGGAGAACCCAATGTGATGCAGGTCTTAGACGTTTACTTCTTTGCTGAAACCAATGAGCACGAGTATGGCGCTGACAAACCCAGAAGCACAATCGTGGCGAACCGGAATTCGAACCTAAAACCATAGGTTACTGGCGTGCTTAAGGGGAGAACTGTGCAAAGCGAATTGCGATGCCTTAGGTAACTGGGACATGGCTGAGTGTTAACTGAAATTCTGTACCATGTACATATTACTTTGAACCCATAGGTCTTCTGTAACCCATGCTTGCGATAAAAGGTGACTATGTTTGTCGTAAGAGGCAACAAACGGAATCGGGTGGTCAGGCTCGCTGACTTGCTTGATGCATGTCATCGTATCCAAATTTCGTCCAGACTCGATTATTTACAGACCGCCGTCATTATGCTGAGTGTGGCGTTAAACAACAAACAAACATATTACTTTGATTCAGATGACAGAAACGTACACATTGTGACACATTTTAGAATTCAGTGTATGCACTATCGAGTTTATAGTTTAGGAAGGGCTTAATTTTGTTTTGCTTTGGCAAATGACTAATGTATTTCATCACAACTACCTTTACACCGTTACAAGTTTGGACAGAATTTGTGTTAAATCAGCTGAACTATAGCATCATGTAACATGTTTATCAGAACATGACACCGTACTGAAATGAAGCAGTAGAACAGAAAACGTAGACGTTTAAATATTTAAAGCACAGCTATTGATAAGAAAGAGCACCATGATAAACAGTTCGAGCCACTTACAGTATAACCATTGATAATAAACAGCACCACGATAAACAACTCGTGCCACATACAGTACAACCATTGATAATAAACAGCACCACGATAAACAACTCGTGCCACGGACAGTATAACCACGGGTATTAACCAACACACTACTCATGACACATGCTGCTGTTTAAGTTACACCCGACCTGGTTATGGAGTACTCACGGTCGTTGTGGTTGTAGTAGAGACGGAGACCCTGGGCCGGTACACAGCCTCCACACCATCCTCCACACAGTAGGTCGATCACAGCGCCCCCTTCCGAGCGTGTCACACTGGTGTATGGACGCCAGTCGAACCCTTTCCATTTTGCCTGGGGTATAAGTAGTTCAAGTGCTGTGAGTCACTGACGCATCAAATTTGGAAATGTCCACCACATGTCTACCATAAACCGTTTTGCAAGCTTTAGTAAGGCCTTGATTTTGTAAACCTGATCAAACAGTCGTATGACACTCTTTGACATCGTTATAGAAAGGGCATGCTTGGTTGTTGGTTGGTTGGTTGGTTTGTTGTTTAACGCCGCACTCAGCAACATTACAGCTCATGGCGGCGGTCTGTAAATAAATAATCAAGTCTGGACCAGACAATCCAGTGATTAATGTCATGAGCATCGGTCCACGCAATTGGGAACGATGACATGCATCAACCAAGTCAGCGAGCCTGGCCACCCGATCCCGTTAGTCGCCTTTTACGACGAGCAAAGTCACCTTTTACGGCAAGCATGGGTTTCTGAAGACCTATTCTACCCCGGAATCTTCACGGGCATGCTTGGTTGTATATCTCAAAGATTACAATTAGGTATTGGGGACTATTCTGTTCTGGAATAACCAGGGCTCATGACAATAGGTAAATTGCTAGATTTAAGCTCACATTGAGGTCGACGACCAGGCCAGTCCCTCGCGTATCCACTCTGAACGTCCCGACGGGCCCACAAGGAGCTGAACCGTAGTAGTTGTTGTAGCAATCCATGGCTTCTGCGTAACCATGACGGTTTTCTTCCCAAGTTGCGAAGGTGAAGTCGTCTAGAACCACTGTCATTGTCTGGGGAAAATAATGTACTGGCTACGAAAAGTAGTAGTATGTTAACATCCTTGTACAGAGATGATGTTAAATGTACCTTATGTCACCTGATATCTGACAACGGTTATAAATAATAACTTAACTTGATAAGAAATTCTAATTCCAGAGTGAGTGACTGCAGGCCATTGTGACATCATTTGTTGCCATGGTGGCGCAATCAAATGACACCTTTAGTGTTTACCTTTAGTGGGTGTTTACCTTTAGTGGGTGTTTACCCTTAGTGGGTGTTTCCCTTAAGTGGGTGTTTACCTTTAATGGGTGTTTACCTTAAGTGGGTGTTTACCTTTAGTGAGTGTTTACCTTAAGTGGGTGTTTACCTTTAGTGGGTGTTTACCTTTAGTGGGTGTTTACCTTAAGTGGGTGTTTACCTTTAGTGGGTGTTTACCCTTAGTGGGTGTTTCCCTTAAGTGGGTGTTTACCTTTAATGGGTGTTTACCTTAAGTGGGTGTTTACCTTTAGTGAGTGTTTACCTTAAGTGGGTGTTTACCTTTAGTGGGTGTTTACCTGTAGTGGGTGTTTACCTTTAGTGGGTGTTTACCTTTAGTGGGTGTTTACCCTTAGTGGGTGTTTCCCTTCATCTCGATTTCGGGTTTAATAGTCAATGTTTTTGTTATAAAAAAATATCCGTTCAGTAAACAGCAGTTTATTTTAGAACTTGTCCCAAACCTTCTCTTACTCTGTTATAATATATTATGTCAAAGTGATGAAGAAACGTACAACAAAGTATTTCCCATGGACTTGTTATATTTGCTTATTGTTTATATGCATGTGTTGAGATTATTTAGAATCTAATTAACCTAATTTCAACCCGCATGAATTGTGTTACACACCTAGTGTCCCCACCTCTCGTGTATCTACATTAATTTTTCGCCCTCGTAATCTAAGGTTATAACATTTCATAACAACAGATGCATTCTGGACATATTATCCATCTTTATTACTATGACAACGAATTCCAAACATTTTTATGTCTAATATCATCAACAAGTGACGGAGAATGTTGGGTTAAAAGTACATTTCTATATTGTTTGGCTTCTCATCTGAGCATAATTAATCTATTGGAATGCTTTTTACTGTCTTAATCATTTTTAGTCAATCTGTGAAATAAATGGACAGATTTTTCAGTCAATTTGTAAAAAGATTGAAATATTTAGACATTTTATAAATTGCCTGAGTGAATCACATTTTACACATTGACTGTTACATATACACGCTTACAAATGAAAATACTTGTGAAAACAACGTCTATAGCGTATCGTATCGAAGAAGTTCCCAACAAGGACGGAGAGGAACAAGAAAGACTCTGTTCAATGCTACAGCAAATGAATGAAAACAAAATGCAAATATCATAATTGCAATCTACCAAATTGATATGTATAAATTCGAGGAATGTATCCGTGAATATCCACATAAAGGAACAATACCACATACGTCTGCAGCTGTACAAATAAACTTATTCGACGTCTCGTGTCTCTGTTACAATCAAATATTTTAAAATATATATAGCGTTTCGGGATATTATAACCCGTGTTCGTTTCTCAACTGATCGCTTAGTTTGTTTCAGTTGTTTCACAGAGGTGTCAAGTCTCAAAGGTCAGCTGAGAAAGCCCACGTGACAACTCTCTCCGTAATGTCCACGGTTCTTTATAAAAAAAACACAGAGTTAGATAACAATGAGCAATCAATCACCGTATTATCGTTTAACGCTTTGAACAAAGTATTTTGTTTTTACATCGGCACTTCATGCCAGAGGATGTATATACCAGATACCCTGCAACTGTGGCAACCAGAACATTGGAGAAATCATTAGACCCCTCAACACAAGACTCAAAAAACCTCGAACCTCTGTTAGCAAACTCGACCAGAAATCCTCTATTTCCGAACACATCCTGAAGAACATAAACTGTAACATCATGTGGAAAGCCACCAAAGTCCTGTCTACCAACAACAACTTGCGACAAAGGAAACTACAAGAAGCCATTGACATCAGGAGACACCAGCCAGCCATGAACCGTGACCAGGGAACCTATCTGACAAGTACTTGGGACTTATTGCTTGGATCTTTGTCGTGGCAAATTGCCTAGCTGGCTTCAATTTGCCCCTCGCTATGTCAATCCTTACATCTATCAGTGCTAATTACCGCCAAGGTGCCCAAACTTGTAAGATGCTTTAGCTACGTCAGTTAGACACTGTTATGCGGTATATTAGGCTATTCGTTTGATAATGCGAGCTATTATCCCAGTAGTTTCTCAAGTTTACCAATGGTTAATTATGACTCGATCGCCGAATGACAAGGTCGACGCCATGGTTGTTTATAAACACTGAAAGTAGTCCCTACTTGAACTTTGATATTTGCATCTCTTTCTGCATATGACCTCCACGGATATCGTTTTTATCCGTTGGTTTTATCCTGCCAAGAAACCTACTCATTATATGATAAATAACAATATCAGCCAGGCCAGTCATGATGACCATTCGATCGTTGCCCTGACGTTCAGATACCTTCGACTGTGAACAACATGCATAAAAAGCACTGTGAACATAGCTTACCTCTGGCCGTATGCGGATTTTGTAGAATCGTGTTATTCCAGGTCTCCCTGCTCCTGTAACACTATTGCTTTCCCCTCTGCACCATCGGTTCTGTTTGCGTGGGTATACACCGACATTGACAGTGGCTAGGGACACGTACTCGGTCGGGGTGGTGGTGTTCATGCCGCGGCAGTAGACTCTGGCTCTGTTGTTGTACATGGTGGAGGACCTAGGGTACAGCCAATACTCCCCGTCGGAGGTCACGTTCAGCTGATCCTTAACTTCAGAACATGTGGATGGGTAGTTGACCACTGCAGAATGACATAATTAGCAAAATTTACAGGTCACTCCAAAGTATCTCACCTTTTCCTAAATACTGTCAATCTACACCTTCTGTGTAAGTGGTTTTATAGCGACTCATAAAAAAGTGACCCTGACTTTGTCTAACCCTTTGAAGTGGTTATAACCCAGGCTGTTAAAAAGGAATTATCATTTAAACAAAGTCAATTATGAAGACATAATGTAATTATTTAATGGATTGGAATTTTGTGTGCAAAGTTAAGAGACACCTTAGCTGGAGTCATTCATAAAAGATGTAGTTTAGAAATGTTGAACCTGCAGTAACACTAGAAAAACGGGTCCATGTCAATATGTAAAGTCGTGCTTGGTCAAAGTATTATGCAACAACATAGGTGTGATATCTTATGCAGCATGACACATACTTTCTGTGTGTAGAAATAAAAAAAATATGTATGTAGAAATGGTTTTGTACTAAGCAAACATGGCATTCCCTTGTAAAAGGTCGGATCTGAATTCTGTGAGCGGCATTTTAGAGACACCATAGTTGGGATCATTCGTAGCAAGTGTCAGCTTCATTGGCCTTTTAGTAACAGAGGAAATGTCAAAATGTACAACCTAACGATGGACAACGTGCCATGACATGACTTTCAGTCAGGTGAGCTCAAAATAAAACCCGAAGCGAAAATCACCATCGCTGGTAGTATTGGTTAACCTTTTGCAATTGTCCATTGGGTGTAGGAAATCGACAACAGAAGAGGCGCTCATCGCATCCCCTTTGTCACTTTCATCGACCACGGCTTTTACGTCATATCATCATGAATGTTAAATGCAGTTTGATACACTTGGGATCTTATCTGATCGAAGCTACCCACCTGCACGATTGCAGTATAAAATACAATAAAGGGATGTCAATGCATGCTAAAATATATATATATATATCTCCTTGTGGTAGTACGGTACTCGGGTACATCATCTCACGATACAAGAGAATGTAACATTCGTGCAAACACATATTTCTTTAAAAATAACAAAGAAACAAACATAAAAGTAACATATACATTATACATTTTACGTGGCAAGGATGAATCAATTTTAGATGAAGCCAGTTTTACATTGTCTTTCAAGTGTCTTTGTTTTGAACTAGACATTGTCTATGGTATTCCCTGACTTATATTACCGTCACCATAACAGTGCCCCATACGACACCGCAGTCTGCCATGGAGGGATCAGGTTAAAATGTCAAAAGAGACAGCCACTAAACAGGTGATGTGTGTATGACAAAAGTAAGTAAATTTTTATTGTTTCCAAATAAACATCAATGAATTAACATATCATATTGTATCAAATTATTTCACTATACAACACTTAAATGTCCTTAGTAAATTCCGATATGTCTTCTTAAGTGATATAAGATATCTAAATATTTTTTACCAATCGTTTGACAAACAAAACAAAAAGACTGTCAATGTTGATCTACAATTAAACATTTAAACACAAATGTCTTTACACAGCTGTATCTTAGGGGAAAAAAATCAGGTATTAAGAAAGTGTTTACACAACTACTAAAACGGAAAACACCCCCTTTGCATTTAGACCCGGACGTTTTACCTATTCTCACCAAAAATATTTCAAAGCAAGACCCTCATCATATAGGCGTTACAAACGTGTGTGATAAATACGTCAATACCTATTTCAAAACAGGAACATCCACACCTTAATAAGCTCTGTTACCTTGACCTTGACTTTGAGCTTGGCCTTGCTCGAACAGTTCTTTCACGTTCTTCGTAAGAAGTTCTTTGAAGCATTGAAGCAAAGCTTCGTTCTCTTGCATTTATTATACTTCAAACTTAGAGTTAAATAGATTTTAACATGTATTTCTTTTAATACAACAACACATTTTTGGCAAAACTGGCGCCGAAGTTAAATGATGACAATGATGCCTTGAACAAGCACTTTTAGCCTTACGAGAATAGTTCGAATAAGATGTAAAATCATTTTGTGAAACATTCTTCAAATATTTTTAAACAAATAGAACTGACAAGAAAATCGCGATGTTTGTAACAAATCATGATGTCGTCATCAGGAGAAACATTCATGTTAAGGTTCCGATTCATCATTCAACAGTCTCAGATCAGAGGAGAATCAAAGTAATTACCAAAGTTGATTGAAATGCATTTTGAGAAAATCAAGAGCATTGACAAGTTCAAACCTCGTATCCAAACAAAATTTGAAATAGCGCAGTGAACTGATCATATATATTAATAAAAACGAGGAAAACCCCTTCTATATTCATAAGAATTATCTGCATTGAACGATTCCGACTATATCATAATCATGTGTTTATGAATCACTATCGAATAGTGATACCAGGTGTTCACGAATGGTGAGCTTATCCTGTTCCACCGTTGGCGACCATAACAAACACATTGACAAGTCAGTTGATCACGGAACATGTGGTGCAAGTCAAAATAGGGAATAAGCCCTACCACAACCTTTCCCTATATAACCAAGAATTGAGTACGGGACATAAATAATCGTGAAAACAATCCGGTGGCATCTTTTGTGGGAACGAGCACCACTGGTTCGATGGTTTCTTACGAGAAGAACTTTGCAGTAGAAGGAATCGGACGACGGTATATAAGGTTTTATATACTGAACCGCAAACGACACGTCACCATGGATAGATATATGGGAAACCTCATTTGTCCAAACACTGTAAACATACTTTGAGACATATTAAAAGATGAAACTTGGCAAAACTGATCATCAAGGTTCAAATTAAAGTGTCAAATGTTCTGAAAGTGAAACACAATAATAGTCTCTGAGAAAATGAGAAAGTCAGTATCTTGTGTGTCTTGTGTGTCTTGTGTGCATTGATGACTGCCGTGCAACGTCGATACATGAAATGGATGAGGCGTTTGAAGAAGGCCACAGGTACTTGAGCTCACACTCCGAGGAACGCCTGACGCAGTTCAGCTGCAGTTGTCGGCCTTGGTCGGACGTCATTCAGCCGTCTTTGAATCTCGTCCTACAGGTGCTCAATGGGATTTAAATCGGGACTGAGGACAGGCCACACTACATGGGTCTGATGCCATTCTGCTGGAGGAAGTCTCTTGTTGCTCTCGCAGTGTGGGCACGGGTGTTATCATGCTGAAACTCAGTGATCGTGACGGCTCTCGTCTGAGAAGAGGACTCTTCTCCACTGCTGGTGGCGCCAATGCTGGTGCTGTGTTGCCCACTGAAGACGGTCCCGGCGATGACGTGGTGTCAGAATGGGTCCTAGGGGTGGCCTGTGACAGTGGAAGTGTCTGCTCGTCAATCGTCGACGCACGGTGTCCGCACTAATGTGTCGCTGATGTGTCCCCATGGTCTGTCGAGCAGTTTCTGCAGCAGTAACAAAGTGATCCTGAAGATGCTGTCGCACAATCTGACGATCCTGACGTTGGGTGGTGACCCTTGGTCTTCAACTACTCAGTCAGTCATCTGTAGTGTTGGTGGTCTGGTACCGTTGCTTGAGTGAGTGAGTGAGTATGGTTTTACGCCGCTTTTAGCAATATTCCAGCAATATCACGGCGGGGGACACAGGAAATGGGCTTCACACGTTGTACCCATGTCGGGAATCGAACCCGGGTCTTTGGCGTGACGAGCGAACGCTTTAACCACTAGGCTACCCGACCGCCCCACCGTTGCTTGAGCCTGTAAATGGTCCTTACGTGGACTTGAAATGTATTGGCTACTTGCCAAGCGGTTTGTCCAGCTTGCAATCGTCCTTGGTGTCGCTGATTTCTTGTCAATCTTGGCATGTGGTAGCAATTCAACAACGAATGAATGTTATCCGATCTGGGTTGATTTTTATAGGGCATGAAATGGGGGAACGCATGTGCATTTCAATTTGCACTGAACTCACGTGCATCGGGTTACCCTGGCCGTTGCCTTGATGCGTTTGCGCGATCGGTTTTATTGACACCTGCTTTGTTTTTTTATCACCAAATTTAATTTTTCCGGACAAAGTAATGTTAAATTCGAGAAACTTTGACAAAAATTAACCAGATATTTAAATGACTACTTTTCATGCAATGTTACTTGGAGTGACATTTCTCTTGGGGTTCAGTATATAAGGTATTATATGTTATGGGGGGAAGGGAAGGGGGAAGAACTAAATAAATTGTTCGGGTGTGGTATAGAGAGGCGTAAAATTGAAATACTTTACGGACTTGTATAAACTACGTTCCTCAGTGAATGCATACGGTCGCCATGCTGCGCAGGTGCTATTTTTAGGCAACATCTCAAGCCAAGCCCTGGGTTATTTAATGCAAAAATAAATTGGTTTAATGAAGACTGGGGTGAGAAATGAATTTGCAATCACATGACCCCTACCATGTTTGAAATGTAAATGTAAATTTGTCCCTAAAAAGTAAATTGATTGATTTTCAAATTTGAAAAGGTCTTAGATACCAATCAGAAGTTGTGCATTATGCCAAATAATCTAATTATGAAAAGTTTTAATCAAATGTTATTATATAAAATAAAAACACGTAGTACTATTATTTTAAGTCCTGATTTAGTGTCAGTACAGTTTATTTTTTTTTATATATTATATCGCAAATTTAAGACATTTTCAACTGAAAATGAAGCATGTGATAAAATCAGCTTCATTTGCCTCCCAGTTCACTGACGGGTGATGGACGAACGTAGTGTATACACACCTGTGACGTACTGACGATGTACGGAGACATTTTCATTAGTATTTTAGTAAAAGTAGAGAACTATACCTTTGCCTGTCAGCGTGAATAGACTGAATCCAGGGGCATACGTCGTGTCATCAGTGCTTTCTCCATCAGGAAGTGCAAATCCATTCGTAATACACGTCACATTCTCACGTTCAAAGTACGCAGACAAACAGAACTGACCATCTAAGCATGTTCTCAAACAATGTAATATTTCCAGGCCTTTCCAAACATGAAGACGTCGGTAGTCTGACACGGTGTCCCTACACTGTAGCTGTTCTTTAAACATGTACACCTTGACCCCCACGGCCGTGCTCAACACCAGCAATAGTAGCAGCGATCCTACATCCATACCGTAGCGTGGAATACTCGTGTCTGAGTATGTGTTTCCTATTTACCGAGAACCGGTGTTATCATTTTATTTGATCTGTTGAACGAGTCAATATCACCTTTTACAAGTATTCAATACATTATTCAAACTTGGCTCAGGGGAGGTGCGGTACAATATCTCCATGTTTTCGAATTCTTAATTCATTTCCCTGGGCAACTGGCATCATTGGCAGTTTTAGTCTACCTGACTCTTCATCCTCCTGGGGCTTCTACCTACTTTAAACCACTCCGACGCACACGACCTCCTGTTCCGCCGTGTATTCTGAATAGCAGACACTCTATGAATGTAGTTCATGTAGAATTTAAGCAGATTCTACATGGTGTAGTGCTGGGTTGTTCCTTGGGGACTGTGATACGTGTAACCAGTGTCAAATGATCCTCGCCATAACGAGTCAAATAATATTAATGACATCATTGTCAGTCGATGTGTTGAGTGTCACATTGAAAGACATTTTAGTCAGTATTAATACAAAGAGATGTTTAAGCTAAGTGTATCATACATCTTTTTCGTTTTATTAGAATTTTGCAAGGGGAACGAGTAACGATGCACAGAGGTGTTTAAACTTTCATTAATGTATGTCTGTCTCGAAAAAGACGGAGATTGGAGAAAACGGCCACCGTCAAAAACGCCTGATGAAAAAAAAGGTCGAGAAAACCCCCAGAGGGGTGAGTTAAAACAAAGGTCAGAGAAAACGGCCAATTCAGATTAATTGATTTTTTTATTAATTATGTTATTAGGGAAAGTCATTCACACTTTGCACATGTAGGGTTTGTTTGATGCAATCAATTTCACTTGACGTTATGGATACACGAAGAAACTTGATCGATTTTTCTGTACAATGGGATTAATGACAGATCCTGGGACGTTTTAACCTAATTCCTATGGTTGGTTTTTGTACAAATAATTCCAGGGGTGATTAAAAGACGCCTGCTGTATTTACAATCACTCTAAGACTTCAACACTGTTGTAGGGGAGTGTTCTACAAACATAAACTGACGGTCAAAAGAAAGGATGCACCCATGTTTGCAATCTCATTAAAATCAGATCTTAGTTCTCGCTACCACTAAACAAAGATCTGAGGACATCCCATTACGGGTCACATCAGACCGACCTTGCGCGAACTTTGACCGACCAATGGAATGACCAATCAGAAGGCAGCTTTCTAGTGCTTTACGGCACTAATTTCAAATTGGCGACTACGCTTCGAAACATATTTTGACAAATTCTCGATTACAAATTTGAAACCTGAACAAAAGAACATTCTGGAATGGCTAATAGATGGGCAAGATTTTATAGATTCAGTCGTTAAACCCGTAACTATCGTTCGGAATAAAGTTTTCGAGGTTGCATGATAAGAAATCACATTCCGACTGTCACTTTCATAATCTTGTAAGCGACGCTCTGATTGGTCAGATGAAAGGTCGTTCTGATGTGACCAATAATGGGATGTCTTCACATCTTTGTTTAGCGGTAGCGAGAACTAAGGTCTGATTTGAATGAGATTGCCATGTTTGATGGTGGCCAAAATAGAAACAAACAAGAAATGGTTGTTCGAAGGTAATGTATCTGATGCGGGTATCATAGGCGATATTGGATCTTCAGTTTGCAGTGTTTTCAGTAACGTTTCCATAACAGTTTTGGATAAAAGCTTTACGTGTCCCCTTTCTTTGTAATAAGGACAGACCCGTGAAGATCCGGGGTAGAATAGATCTTCAGTAACCCATGCTTGCCGTAAAAGGCGACTATGCTTGTCGTAAAAGGCGACTAACGGGATCGGGTGGTTTTTTTTATTTGAACATATTTATTCACAAGGAGTGAACGGGACTGGGGGACAAGTTCTTCCAACTTAGAATGCCCTCTCCCTCTCCCTCGGGTCGTCAGGCTCGCTGACTTGGTTGATGCATGTCATCGTATCCCATTTGCGTGGATCGATGCTCATGATGTCAATCAGTGGATTGTCTGTTCCAGATCCGATTAATTACAGACCGCCGTCATATAGCTGGAATATTGTTGAGTGCGGCGCTAAACAACAAACAAACAAACAAACTATAATAAGGACATACTCCTTGCCACTCCTAGTATATTCCTAACACCTAATGGCGAGTGTCAAATCTATATCTCCCTCCCTTCTTGACTCAGTCCCTGACTCACAGCTACAAAAGACAAAATACGTGTCACCAGCAATAAGTCATCTTCCCGAGGCAAGGGAATTAACTGAATGTTAATCTCCAGATTCCACCCTTGCCGAACTGGGCCGTAATTTCTGGGTTCGATCGTAGCGCGACCAGTGGCTAATACGAGTTATGTTCCTTCCATGTCCCTCCAATTGACTAATCAGATTCCACCTCTGATATCACTTGTATTTGATTCAGACAAAATGGCGGCGCCTAGTGAAGACGATCGGATCGATAATCAAGATCTATATTGTGATAAGATGGGTGTTACGGGAATTAGGTGCAGTCGGGAATATCCAGAATTTTGTCACTGCCGAATGTCTTGAAGCAGGACTATCTCTTTATCTTATATCTGGAATGGTGTTGGAACCTGTCCGGTATTCGGTGTTTTCAAACAGGTATTCAATTGAGATATAAAGGGCCCGGTTCCAAATTCAAAATAAGAAGTATTGGTGCTATGATGAGACGACTTCAATTTTTTTTAAAAACCAGTAGGTTTATCTCCATTCGATAATGACGGCAAGAACGCTTTAAAACGGAACACTTTTGGAACGAACTACACATGGGTATCTCTGAACATTCCGATAAGGGATCACAGGTAGTTATGAATGGACGGTAATAGGTGGCGCTCATGGCGACAGGTCATTCGTCACCACTCGCCCCTATCGATGAATGTTATGCGCGAAAATACGACAAACCAATCAGAATGCGCGTATGATTTCGAGTTCTTTGTCAAATAATCCGTCAGAATAATTTTTGATTTTACATATATCTTGCACCTAAAAATATACCCAAGACACAGTTAAATATGTTAATCATCCTGTATAATTCCGCACGTCCCGATGTGTTTAAATTTCATCTGAAATATATATAATATATGGGGAAATATATGTGAACCATAACGCAACGAGTTGACAATTGTTTTAGGTATGCCCGTTTGCGCAAAGACGTAACCCAGTCGCCAAAATGGTCATGAGAGGCGCACGAGTCGCTATTCGGCTTGTCCCGGAATAACACGAGTTGCTCACGAATGGGCGACAGGTCGCACATAACAACCTCCCGAGCAAAATCCATCAAAAGCGTAACTAAAATGGCCAAGCCAAGAAAAAGCCAAAGAGGTAAAGGTGACTGAATCTGAGCAAGCTGTTCACCAAGTTAATTCAGTGGATCAAAGATCAACGAAGTCAAAACCATCGACTGATAGCGACACTACCCCGACACCGAAGAATCAAGCGACAGCCTTGTCGGTGAGCATGTTCGATGACATGAAAACATTCATTTAACATTCACTCAAAAAGCAAACAGATGAAATCTCTGACAAAATTGATAAAGTCAACAATGAAGTTACCAAATTACAAGCTAAAACGGAAGATAGTCTGCGGTCAGACGAGTTCAACTTCGAACAGATAAACGTAAACAAGACTGAGATTCAAATGTTGAAGGGCGAAATGGCTGAACTACTCGTACGTAAAGACACAAAAGCGAAATTATTGATGGTAATAACTTTATTTTCGAAAGGGCAATTTACTGATCTATATTATACAAGATGAATATGACCCAGAAACACCGTAAAGAAAAAAAATCACTGGGCCTGCAACGTGCTGACGACTTCGTCAACATCGATAGGCTACCACGCCAGAGTAAAAATACCTATGCAGCTTAATCAAGAAAACCAATCAAGATAAAATTTGTCAATATGAAGGACAGACAGATAATCTGGGATGCAAGTTACCGCAAATACACTGTCCTGCGTGAGAGACACGTCCCAATTCGCACGGACCTCCCTGTACCATTGAAAAAACTCCGTGGTACACTAGCGAGTAAGGTCTACGAGCTTCGCAGAAAACATTAAGTCAAGACACGGATTCAGGAAAAAGGACGAGATATCACCCTCCAGTACCCTCCAGCTATATGACGGCGGTCTGTAAATAATCGAGTCCGGACCAGACAATCCAGTCATTGACATCATGAGCATCGATCCTCACAAATGGGATACGATGACATACATCCACAAAATCAAGGAGCCTGACCACCCGATCCCGTTAGTCGCCTCTTACGACAAGCCATTCGTCACCACTCGCCCCTTTCCGTAACCTGCAAGAAGACTCGTCCCCCTATCGATAAATGTGATGTGCGAAAATACGACAAACCAATCAGAATGCGCGCATGATTTCAAGTTCTTCGTAAAAGAATCCCTCAGAAATAATTTTTGATTTTACATACGTCTTGCATCTAAAAATATACCCAAGACACAGTTAAATGTGTTCAATCATACTGTATAATTCCGCATGTCCTGATGTGTTTTAAATTGCATCTGAAATATATATCATATATGGGGAAATATATGTTAACCACTAGGCAACGAGTAGACAATTGTTTTAGGTATGCCCGTTTGCGCTAAGACGGAACCCGGTCGCACAAATGGCCATGAGGGGGACACGAGTCGCTATTCGGCTTGTCCCGGAATAACACGAGTTGGTCACGAATGCAAGGAACAGTGAGCCATAAAGCCGATAAGTGATTAGCGGTATCGGACTACCTGTATTGGTGTTTAATCACATAGTTTCCGTTTATTGTTCGACTGAAGATAATATCTGAGAACTACGTATGATAATATCTGAGAACTACGTATGATTTATGATGCCATTAGAAACGTATTCTTATGTTGACGTGTTATTCTCTCACATCACCATGTTCACACGTGAGTTACCTCCCTTCCTTGGCCTAGTTTGAGGACAGGTCAGTTGATGGCTATATTAACACATCCAATTCTGGCCATGATAATACTCTTTGAATAAAC